CGGCTGGGACTCCACATGGGGCTGGAGGTGACAGACCGGAGAGCTGCCTGCAAGGGCTGGACAGCCTGAGAATGGCACCGTCTGCCATTCGTTTCGAGTATTTGTATTGCTGTGCTGCAATGCCCTGATTCCGCTTCCGTTTGCTCAACTCCTCAATGCTTTATGGGAATGGTGCTATTTGGCGGCCACCTCCCATACTCGTGTGAACGCAGGAAAATGGAAGAAGCATAGAGACCGGTCGTGGCACTGAGAGCATAGCCCTCCCAAGGATTCGTAGAGTCTTAGGGGAAGGCTCTGCACTGCCATGAGCCCACACTTAGGGAGCGCAGTTGTATTCTACAATACCTCCTTGAAGGCAGGGAATCTGTATAAATTATTTGGAATTCTGATCAGATTTGTCTCTTCTCCCCGATTTATTCAAGCATTTGTTTACATCACTGTGGACTCATGGATATTTCAGATTGTTCCAACTTTGGCTATTGGGAGATTTTCCAGTTCCTTTCTGTGTCCTTTTGACGTACTCCCATTGTTATGTGCTTTTCTTTTTCTGAAGAACATCCTTACTTTTTGTCATGAAAGGATGCAGCAAGCTATCTTCTATATTTCCCACCACTCCAAGGAGCCCTGGTTCTTTTATTGGAGAATGGTATTAGAAACCAATTCTGGGGTTCATTGCTTGTATGACCTTTCTTGGCCAAGAGATTTCAAATTTTTCATTCCATACTATGTGCAGGGGTAAAAATTGTACAGCTTTGTTGCAGCTATTATTTTATAGTCCAGTATTAATTACAGTTTATTTTCATACATCCATGAACTGCACAGTTTGGAACTGAAAGCTAGTTTATTTATGGGCTCTGACAGGTGTGGCTCCGTTGGTCGGGCATTCACTTCTAGGTCAGCGCACTTGCCAGGGTTGTGGGTTTGGTCCCTGGTGGGGACGCAGATGAGAGGCCAATGTTTCTTTCCCTCTTTCTCCCTTCCCCTCTCTACAAATAAATAAATAAAATCTTTAAAACTTCTATGTGGCCAGCCACATTCTGGTCTTTCTCCCTTCTCACCATGCCCATCCCTCTGTGGTTGCTTCCCTCTGTGTACCCCTCTGCTATGGTGAAATGTTTCGGGGGGACTGTTTTGATGCTAAGATGACTGCAGTCCAGGATGCAGCTGGTAGTTGGTCTACGCCGCCACCTAACATTAGTCACGGTTCAGAATGCTGTCAGTGAAATAGTTTAAAACTTGCATGTCATAGTTTGGATCTCTGTAGGTTTCATAAGTGTAAAAAAAACAACGCATTGCTGTTGCTTCAGATCATCTAATTAGTTTGAGGTAGGCAGCACATTGATACCATAAGGTTAAATGATACAAACACTACAGTAGTGAATTTAATAAGCTTCACGGACAAAGTTCTAGAACAGATTATTAAAAGGATATTTCCACAACACTATGAAATAGAGCTGTTACAAATGACAAGGAATTTTTCAATTATGCCAAAATTTTGATAACAGTTACAACACAGATATTTTCTCACAATAGTCTTGTGAACAAGAGAAATAGGGGAGAATGTCAGCAAATTAGACTGCTTTATAACTATTCCAGTGACTGTAGCCAAGTACCAAGGACTCACGTGTCACTGCTCATTGACTCCAGGGCGTGGACCTAAGCACTTCAGTCCATTTAACCGATTTTCTAACCAATGGGATGAGAAAGCGTACTGGTCCATTCTGAAAATAATTTTCTTCTCAAGAAAAGATTCAGAACGGATGGTCTATTCTTTCCTATACTGAAACAAGAATTGTCTTCTTAGGACCAGAACGATGGACCCATGGGAAAGGTCACAACTGTTTGCATTAATTCAGTATGGGAAGTATGGCTTAGGAGTATCGTGTGTGAAAACTTAATCGTTTAAGTTCAACTACTCAACAGTCTAATTGAGCAAAAGTCAGAATTACTAGAATAACCTAAGACAGCTTTACAATGGAGTACTGCACTCCAAAATCAGGATTTCTCGTATTCTCAAGTGAGGCAGACACCACCTGGAAAGTGTTCATTTCTGAAGGCACATTTTAAAGTTGGCCTTTGGAAAATGAGGGTATTTTTTAAAGGGAAAATAAGATTGTGACTTAAGTGCAGTTTGCACTGAGTCAGTGCGTAACATGGATCAGGGATTATCATACTATCAGTATAATTTGGGCTCTGCTCTTACGCTTGTGGTCCAGTAGGGGGAGAAAGGCTGCTTAACACACTGCTCTAAGCAGAATATAAACTCTGCACAGTGGGCCTTTGAAACATTCGAATTTAGCCCAGTTGCAAGAGGCCAGGGAAGGCTGTCCTGAGAAAATGACACCTCAAAGGAGACCAGGAGGGTGAGCAGGATTTAGCCAAGTAGTGCAAGAAAGGTAGGAAGGGAACTCTGTCCATCAGAAACCATGATGAAAGGATAGATGAAGAAGTTTTACACCAAAACCCCCCTGCTATATGTGGTTTTAAATATGTGAATTAACATGTGTGCGTGCGTGTGTGTGAGGCTCCTGTGGAAAGACAAATGGAAGCCCATTTCAATTCCGTATACGAAAGCTCCTTTATTTAGTGAAACTTCATGGTGAAGCACCCCAACATACCGCAAATTCAGTAAATGGAGTAGTGATGGGTCCTGTCTCAAAGCAGGTTCACATGATCATTTTATTAACCCACAAAAACATTATTCTACCTTTCTTACAAGACCCTCTGAGTCCCACTCACACACTAAAACCTGCCTTCATGGAGGTCCCAATGAGGAGAGGCAGCACAGCATATTTTCAGATACGTGGATGAGAACTTGTCGGGAGTGAATGCCGTGGGAGGGATGATTAGGTTGGGGATGGCCTCCAAGGTGCCTTCCACCTCGGGGACCCTGCAGCCCTCCAAAAATTTATTTGATAGTGCTGTGAATAAGGGCAGTGACAATGAGCAACTTCATATGTTAGTTTTATTCCTACCACATAAAGCTTGTTTCTTATGAAATGTGTTGCATATAAATTATTCAGAGGTACTGTCTTTTACTTGATTATAAATGCCCTTAAACCAAAGCAAAGCTTCAGATTTAAAGCTGTTTCCAGTTCAAGCTAATAGTCTAAGTTTAGACACCTGGCTCCTTCCTTCTACCAATATTCAGTATGATGATTAAGGGAAATTATATACATTTCTATGGAAACTGAGATGGGTGCCAACATGTATGAAACCTGCAAACACTTCAGCAACAGATAATGCAGCTGAAAGCAGAGGCACAACAAGCTTGACACACTGTATGTGGAAAATGTGCCACCAGGGATGTAGGCTCCTTGACTTCGAGCGAGGATGTTAGCCTGCTAACTGTATGGAGAGGGTGCTTGCACCTGGTGGAGAGGGGTACTGTACCTTAGGCCGCATGTACTGTAGCAAGACACCCACACGAAGGGAAAAATAGAGCCAAAGGGAAATTCACAGCTATGTTTATATTATTGAACCCATGTGTTTACTGGCAAGGAATGTGCATCTGCCTATATTTGTTTTACAAAATAAAACCTACACATTGATGGATAAAGAACATACAAAAGACTATTATTTGCCATTATAAGTACTGAAAATTTTATTTATTGTTTTTCTGTAATGAATTACTTTTATACGAACAGTCTTAAAAATTGAGTCTCCTGCAGATAGGACCCGAAGGTGCCCCGGGCTGTGAGTGCCCAAACATGACTCAATACAAGGGTCCCAGGGGGTTAATGCGCAAAGGAACCCCAGGTGCCACGTGATGTGGGCTGAGCTGACAGCACAGCCTCTCTGCAGGCCGAGTGGGGCTCCTCGTGCGCAAACCAAGCCCCAACGCTTTACAATGAAACATTTAAAAAGCGAACATGGGTGTGGAAATCACAATGTGGTATTCAGTACAATGGAATATCGTTCCCCCATAAGGACAGTTTGGTGGTCTAAGTCGACCTGCAATGTGAACGAACCTTGAAAACATGACACTAAAAGAAACGGGACACAATAGGCCACACATGACATGATTTCATATGTAGAAAAGGTCCGGAATAGGCAGAGCCACCAAGACAGAATGTAGGTTCGTGATTGCAAGGGGGTTGGAGAAGACCAGAATAAGGACCGGCTGCTAATGGAGGTGGGGTTACTTTGAGGGAAGAAGAGAATGTGCTGGACTTAGATAGTGGTGATAGATGCATAACTTTGTGACTATTTTAAACCACGAACCACACACTTTAAGAGTAAACTAAAGGTATGTGATTTGTAGCTCAGTAAAAAATAAAATTATCATGAACTTTTCTGTATACAGGTTATATTTCAACAGTTAAAATTTTGTAAATGCTGAAGGAAAAAAGATGTTTCCACTAATATAAACAGATAAAATATTCCTATCAGCAACATTTTCTTTCCTTCTGATTCTTTGGAATTCAAAATTACTAATTATCTTTAATAAAACATTTTTGAGCCAAATGTATACAAAAAAGCAGATGTATACATGTGTTCCATTGTTAAATGTTGACAGAAAACAGAAACAAAAAAACCCTGAGATAAGGTAGCACAAAAAAATTGAAAATACTTGGAGAAATGCAATAGTTTATAATTACTATTACTAGATTACAAGTAAATTAAAACACTTCAATTATATAACATATTTGTCATGAAGGTCTTAATAATTCAATAATGTATTTAATCTACGAAATTACGAAAAGACAATGTCATTATACTGTCTTAAAACATGATGGTAGATCATTAATGTTTTGGATAAAGATGAAAGCAAAATTCCTTATTCTTACCACACCATCATAATGGCCTCTTATGTTACCTATCCAATTTTAGTGTGGGAGTAGGCTCATCTATCAATATCAAAACCTATTTGATTGCACAATGTCCAGCTCAGCAAGTTTCAACTACACTAAAAAACTAAGGAAAAAATCCTTAGGAACAAAATGTTTTTTTTTTTTCTTTTCAAGAAAAATAAAACAGTTGATAGAGGCCCACTCAAATGTATTCCAATAAAGGAACCTGTCAAAACATTTTCACCTTTAAAAAAAAAGTCAGTGTTTTTGTTCTAAATTCTTTCTGAGTAAGTTTATTACAGTCATTAAGGAAATAAAATCTGAAAGGATTGAAGAAAATACTTGCAATGAAAAGAATAAACATTAACACTGGCTAATGCCATGTACTCTTGATACAAAGGAGAGGAACCTGTTGGTGACCTGCTAGTCTCGCGTAATCAAACATGAAGAGCAGCTCCCGTGAGCCGTCCAGGAGAGTCTGTTTGAAGGCCGTGTATTCATCAACACAAGGCTCCCTCTGTCGGTCTTCCACACGTTCCAGTTCTTTTGCCATCAGTCACCTATCAGATTCTGCAACTGTCAGGGCAATTTCCAACTAACAAAATCCAAAACTGACACTGCCATTAGCCACAGTTTACCGATGCCACCCCTGCACATTTCACATTTTTCAATAATAAATTTGTCAAGATGTTGGAGTTCAAAATGTTGACTATGTGTTTTTACCTGAAATCTTACAATGAAAATATTTTTATGAAAAAAGTTGTCTAGTAACATAAATTGCTTCTGCATCGGTTCCACACACAAGACAAGGACCTAAAACATCCAAACTGTTGACGGACAAAGTCCTGTTGGGAAGCAAACTTGTGATCTCAATACGGTCTTTCGCCGGGTCAGTGCTCAGCCAGGAGCTTAGAAGAGACTGGTGAACGTTAGCCTGGTTATTGATGCTGTGAGACAAAAAAGTACTACTTCTTCCTCCTGAGAGAAAAGAAAAGGGGGGTGAGGAGAATCTTTTTATTTTTTTCTGGTCTTCCCTGGGGATTAAAAAAAAAATTGTTGACACTATTACAAGGGTCCCTATATTCCCCCCCCCCGACTCAGCCCCCCTACCCCGCCTTCCCCATATTGTTGTTTGTGTCCATGGGCAAGTACGTTCTTTGGCTAATCTCTTGTAGTCCCTCCCCACCCCCTTGCCCTCAGATCTGGTAGCCCTGTGTGTCCATATTGTTCTTCCATTTAATTTGTTCATTAGATTCCACGTATAAGTGAGATCATATAGTATTTGCCTTTCTCTGACTGGCTTACAGGTTCATCCATGCTATCACAAGAGTTTCTTTTTTTTTTTAAACAGCTGTGTGGTATTCCACTGTGTAAGTGTACCTTATCTTTCTTAGCTGCTCATCAACTGACGGGCCCTTGAGCTGTTTCCAGATCTCAGCTATGGTAACAATGCTGCTATGAACATACCTTGGTGAAAGAGAGATGATTTTTCAGGCACGTCTGTGGAGGCATCCCAATGCCAGAGGGACCCATCCTCAGAACAGGTAAACAGGTGATCTGGGTTGGATGGGTGAAAGTGAACTTCCCACACTAAAAGATAAGAACCAAGAGGCTTAGTCTGTGCAGATTAGTTAAATAAACACTAAAACCCTATCTCTAGAGGTGATCTTCCATTAACCTCTATTATACACCTTCAAACCCCAAGGCTGTAAGATCAAAGGCTTCAGAATGAAACCACACCATACCTCTCCAAATGGCTTTAATGTGTAGACAGGGTGAAGAGGCCACGTAAATCTACAAGTGTATTGGGCCAGCAAAGGGATGAAAATAAATGCTAAGCACCTGACCTATTACCTTTTTTTAATGTAAAAGTATGATTATTGGATAATTCTAAAAAGTGTTTTTAAAAATTGGTTTAAGTTCTCTTATTTTCAGATCCTGTGTTATTAATGTACGCAGGTAACATTTTTGGAAAGGCTGAGAGAGAAGACTATAAAAGTAATATAAAAATGAAGTTCTATGAGGCAGCGTCTAATTCGACTCACACCAGGGCTTGATACTTCTGTATCACAGAAATAACAACTAGCTCCTAGCAAACTAAAACCTGGAAGTGCTCCAAATCTGGGGTCCAGTTTTGGATGGAGGACTCTTAAGAAATGAATTTTGGATTGAGGACGCCTCAAACTTGAAAGCTGAAGGAAACATCATGTGCCAATAGACACCTGGGAGCCAATGACTGGCCAGGGCACCTTAGGACGTTCTCTGCAGCCTGTAGATCTCTATAAAGAAACCTTATTTCATTTCTAGCCTAGAGTGGGAATGAATACATCACAATCCACTACATTTGTGTGTTTACTACATAACAACAAAGGCGGGCAATTAAAAAGGGGCTGGAAGGAACAGATCTGAAAGTTTGTAGTTCTGCCATCACTGGGTCAGCCAACATCAGACTCCCTCAGGGTGTACCCTACTCCTGTTTATTCATTTATTTTCTGGGCAGAGCTATAAATGGAAGGAGCAAGAAAATTTCTAACCTCTTCTTTGCTTTATTTAAATATAGTTTTAAGGGTCATTCATCTTTCCAAGATAATAATATGAAACTTATTAAACTGAAATTTTAATACTGATGTTTGCTTTTCTGTACTTTTATTCAAGTATTAATACAACTTCTCTCAAGTCAGAATTTAAAACACTAATCCACCGTCACAATATCAGAAACAGTGGTCAGATATGAAAAATTTCTGTCTGGCTAAGAAACCTCCACCAATATCACAAGACATGCAAACAAATAAAAAGACAAGAACCAGTACCTACTGTTTCTGTTAAAAGAAAAAATGAACATGCAGGCTAAACACTGGGCTTTGGATAGGATAATGAAACATGTTAAAGTACTTAAGTGCCAAATTTAATGATTTAAATTTGAGATAAATTAATTATTATAAACTGATATGATTCAGCCACAAGCTAAGATGCAAGGCAGTCTATGTTACTGTTATGGAAAGCAGCTTATAACATACAACTTGGCCAAAGAAAACTTGTATGTCTCCATAACACTTACTTTCAGCTTCGTGAGCCTTCAGCAGAGACACGGGCATGGTACCTTGTCTCACATCCCAAATACTCAATGTTCCATCCTGGCCACCAGTAGCTACAACATGCTGTTGGTTGGGATGTCTATCGACACAGTGGAGAGGCACTCGGTCACCAGTCCTTTTATGGGAGATACAATGACATCAAGTATGTTATAAGTTGTACTTTATCTTTGCAAAATCCATGAAACGGCTTTTATTCTAGTAACTAAATGATCCCTTTGTGGCTAGAGTTGCTGGCTGAATTGAAATCATGGCCTAAAATTGACAACATTAAATATACTTCTAAATATGAGAATCAGAGGGTGTGGTTTAAGGCCAAAGGTATTCATTCTCTTCAAATTGGGAGGCACTGAGAGCAAGATAATCTCATGTATGATCTGCAAAACACATTTCCATTTTTTGGCTTCCAAAACCATTATGTATCAACTAAACAGCACATTCTTTATTCCTATCTTGTTTAATGTTCAGTTTATGTTTTTCAGATTGACACATTCTCTTTTCTTATTAGAGAAGAGTAGGCCACACACATATAAAAGGGGATTTCTGCTCAAAAAAAAAAAAAAAAAAAAAAAAAAAAAAATCTTGGATTTTATTTTTCTCCCAGTCATAGCTAGAATGTATTATATCCACTTATAACAGAATCGTCTGATGAGCAAAAATAAGGTCCCCATTAAAGAATATAAACTTCAAAGAGATAGAAGCTCTGAATTAAGACAGCATATACTAAGTGCAGCATGGCAGTATCAAACCCACCAAATTATATTTACTTTATCAAATGTAAATAGGAATTATTCTCTTAAAATGAAATTACAATATGGTTTAAAGTCAATTGCTAGAAATGAACAAATTAATTTTGCATTACACAACTGAAATTAGAAATCAACTTACAGGGATAATATCTGAGAGGGCTCGTTTCCTTGTTGTCTGAAATCCCATATTTTTAACTGTCCAATTGAATTTACTGTAAGAATCTCAGGAGTTCGAAGGAAGGTTACAGCGTGCAGTGTACTGCTATCTGCATTGTCTGCAAATGAAGAAAACGGTCGTGTGTGTTACTAGGTTTTCCCTGTGTCGTGAAAAATTAAATCACACCGCTTTTCATTGAAATATTACAAGGAAATTTAAAATACATAACAGTTTAATTTCTGTAAAAAGTGTACAGTACTATGTATGTTAAGATGACCTCTCCTTGATAGAAAAATGGTATAACTCACAGGACACCTGAACTGTTTTCTAAAGACAGGGCTGAGTTTTCATGTACGTATTTCTCCATTTCCACATAAGACTGTCACTCTCTCCTTCTGAGATAGCTGCGCAACCTTTGCACATGCCATTCTATTTCCGCCCAGCGCTTAACCCGGATCCTCCATTTATTCTATGGGGCCAACCCCAGCACTTTCTACAGAGCTCCCTCTAGTCTTGTGTTATTCTGCTGCCTCCCCTCCAACTTACTCATCTTCCTCCTCGTCAGCCCTCTCCTCCACGAAGTCCCTCCTAATTGCTGTAACGGTCCTCTCCTCCCTTTGACAGTGTTTAAGCTTATACCACATAACATAGCACACACTCACAGACTTTTGTTTTGTCACACTCCTCCAAACTGCCACCAGGCAGTGGTCCTTGAACAAGTAGAGTTCCTCAGAACTAAAAATTGGAATAAATTACACAAAAAACTGACTCATGAGCTCAGTCCACAGAGGTTCTGATTCAGGTCTGGGTTGGTGGGCTGTTTAAAATTTCCTCAGGCAAGTCTTTGTGAAACCTGGTTTCTCACTACCCCAGCAGAATATTCCTTCTAAAGCACAACAGGAAGTATATCACCCACTTGCTCAAAAAACCTTCACCTGCTACTTAGTGCCCACCTAACAAAATGTAACCTCAGTGGCTTTTTTAGTGCACTAGACTTCACAACCTGGCCCCAATTCCCCTTCCTTGCTTCATCTCTCACCTCCCCTACATAAATATACAAAGTCAGGTCAACATACACTTCCTGTCACTCTCTAAATGGCCTTATCCTGCCTCCACACTATTCCCTATATCTGGTGTGTCATTTTTTACTTATTTATGGTCTAGGACCGAGATGAAATGAATTGCCACGTGCCCCTCAATTCTTCATCCAACAACCCACTCCAGCCCAATAAAAAAGTTTCTTTCTTCTGTAGCCACTCAGCCATAGATGCCTTATCAACATGCTGTCTTGTTAAAGGCAGTATGCTTTGTATATTTCTGTATCCCTTAAACACCTTGCATTGTATTTCCTTAGCACACGGTAGGTGCTCATTATTATGTGATGGATTAAAAAAATATGACTTTTCTTACCTATGGTTCTCACAGCTTCCTTGTGATCAACTCGGAAGAGATTTATTCGACCATCTTCTCCAACTGTGACGATCTCTGGGTTGTTGCACACGACACCTGTGCATGGTGCACAGCTCCAGGAAGGACTGCCTGGCCCCGAGTGGTAGTGAGCCGCTGCCCACTGCTGGCTGACCGTCAGCGTCTAGGTGTCACGAATGAGTTATAATTCATCGAAGCAAAGCTCTAAAAAAACTAGCAGTTTTCCCTAACTGAAGGATGTTTTAAGCCCTGGGTGGTATGGTTCAGCGGATTGAGTGACGGCCTGTGAATGGAAAGGTCACAGGTTCAAATCCCATTTAGGGCACACACCTGGGTTACAGGCTAAGTGCCCAGTTGGGGGCGTGTGAGAGGCAAGCGATTGCTGTCTCGCATGTACACTGATGTTTCTCTCTTTCTCCTTCCCCTTCTCTCTAAAAATAAATATATAAAATCTTTTTAAAAAGAAAGTTAAAAAAGAAATCAATCTCTAGAGCACTTTCTAAATGATGTATTAGAGAAACGGTAAGAGCTTGGTCCTGTGTTTACTAAGCGTGGTTTTAAGCAAGGTAACTTTTATTAATTCCAAAACCTATATAAGCTCTCTCTTCCAGCAACTTAAAACTGTTACACGTGGGGCTCCTAGAAAGGGTTGCTTCACCACTATGCTTGGAAGGTCAGCACTCTGGGCTCTAGCACACAAGGCAGGCACCGTAAGCATGTCAATGGTGATGGAAGGAGATTTGATTTGGGGTGGGGAACGCATAATACAATGTACAGATGATATATTGTAGAAACTGTACCCCTGACACCTATATAATTTTATTAACCGATGTCATCCCAATAAATTTAATTTAAAAGGAAAACAAAAAGTCAAATCTTCATACAGAATAGCCTGTCTTTTAATTAAAACCTAGGTTCTAGTCACAGATGCAAAGTAGTAGCATGTTCTTTCTCATCATACTTGAGCTAGAAGGTGCTCTTTCTTCAAAGACCAGAATAGGAACTTAAGAGAGAATTACGGAAAAATTAATGGCCAGAAAGTATATTGTTAGGTCTAAACTAATAGAATTGAATATATATCCTATTTCAATAAAAGTTGATACACACATGGTTGTAGAATTAATCTACTAAAGGATGGGTAATATAACAATATTTTCTCCTATGTTTTGAGACCATAAAATTTAATTTTTTCTGTGATTAAGTACAGCCTTTCTAAAAATAATTAGAATACAAAGTTTAAACAAAATTTTTTTACCTGGTTATTCGGATGGTGAAGGAACACAGTTACACATCCTGTTGATGAAGCAGCTACAATTCTTTCCTGATCAAAAAACTAAAAAGAAAATTCCTGCTTGCTATAGATTCAGAAATATCAGTATGGAGGAAGCTCATTTGTTTAACTTAATTAGCATTAACAACAATTTCTTAAAAAGCTTATAAATGCCGCAAGTAAAATGTGATGATAGATCTGCAAGTCAAAACTCCTATACAAATAAATGTATTTTTGTGAAGGAAAAAAACCAATATTTTTTCTCTAAACTCATCCATCTATAATTGACTGAATTAATTATGGACCACTACCATAAAGTTTTAGAAAAGTATCATTCCCGCAGTGAGGCAACTTTCTGTAGAAAATGCAGGGACTCTTAAGTCACAAAGATGCAGATTTGAAAACTTAATTCCATTCCCATCATTTAGTAGTGGCTTTGAGACCTTAGCCAAGTTAAAACTATCTAAGCCTAGGGAAACCTTTACAAGGGGAAAGCTAATGACTACTTAGAAGGCTGTGAGAATTCAAAGAAAAAATAAAAGTAAATTCCCTTTCAAGTAGTCCTCACATAGTATGTGCTCCAAAGATCTTAGTGTCAGTTTTCTCATTGATAAATCACAACAATCTCTGATTCGTAACTATGGAATGAGAATTAACTTATGTAAAGTTCCTAAAAGAGTGCTTGGCATACAATAGATAGTCAACTAATTTAAAAAAAAAAACACACCTAAGATTAAAAAGCTAATATTAAATCCACTGCCCCGGTTCTGATTCTGCCATTAAGTGGCTATAGGTTTGAAAATCATAACCTACAAAGAACTCAGTTTCCTATAAATCTGGAGTGAGAGAAGACATAATTTAAGGTCTTTTGCATCTCTAAATGTGTTACTCTCCGTTTTTAAAAAGCTACCTTTCAACCCTGGCTGGTGTGACTCAGTGGATTGAGTGCTGGTTGGTCGAATTCCATTCAGGGCATATGCCTGGGGCGGGGCGGCGGGGGGAGGGATGGGGAGGCGGGGGAGGTCCCCAGTAGGGGGCACCAGAGTGGCGACCACACACTGGTATTTCTCTCCCTTTCTCCTTCCTTTCCCCCTCTCTATAAATAAATAAATAAATAAAATCCTTCTTTTTTAAACAGCTTTTGGATATTACACACACGTACTTGTAAATCCATAACATCGCCATAGTGCCTGGTACCGCACAATAACTGGTGGTCTCCTTCAAACCCTCCATCAGGGTCCAAGCTCCCCAAATCTCCAATAGACCACAATGAAACATAATTTTCCTGTAAAGCAAAATGTTTTATCTTGAGGTGGAATAAACGTTAAACTCTCCAAAACTAAAATTTGCATTGCCTTCAAGCTACCTTGTTTTAAAAGCATCTCAGAATATACCCTGGCTGGTGTGGCTCAGTGGATTGAGCACCGGAATGAGCAAAGGGTAGTCAGGTCACATGCCTGGGTTGCGGGCCAGGTTCCCTGGAGACGGGGTTGTTAGAGGCAACCACACGTCGATGTTTCTCTCCTTGTCTTTCTCCCTCCCTTCCCCTCTCTCTACAAATAAAGTATATTAAAAAAAAAAAAAAGCATCCCAGAATAATGCGATAAAGAGATTCGAGGTTCAGGCACACACCATCAATGGCTCAGAGGTATAGAGCAACAGAGCCAGAAACGGGGTCTCGGAGGGTGCGGGGAACAGAAGAGGGCGAGAGGATCTAGAAGGCGAGAGGATCTAGAAGGCGAGAGAATTCAGAGGGCGAGAGAACTCGCGCGCGGGCGGGCCGGGGGTGCGCGTCCCGGAGAGGACTCCCTCGGCCTGGGAGCGGGGATACCTCATTGTCCCAAGAGCCCGTAGCGAAAGTTTCTGCGGTCTGCAGACTCCCGGAAGGCACCGGTCGCCAGCGGGTTTTGCTGATTTTCTGAGACACAAACTTAGCAAAAATTTCCTCCATGCTGAAATTGTTCGCACTAGGCAGGAGCCCAGCGCGCGCCCTCAGTCCCGCCTACGGGGCCGACGGTGGCTGCGGAGAGCCAATTCTGTTCCTCCAACACCAAGAGGAGGAAGGAAGTTAGGATGCCCTCCGTCTCCGAGCAGTCCATGAGGAGAGGCAACAATGTCCTTGTACTGTACAAGTCTGCTCCTAAGCTGCAAAATCAGTATAGAACACAGATGCAATGCATTTGTGCAATAATTGTTTAATGTATAACAAATTTAAGAGCAAAACCAAAACAAAATAAATGCAAGAAAAATCACCTGCTGGCTTCCTAAGCTTTCAGTTTTGCAATTAACGGCGCAGAGTCCAAATCCTTCATTTCTCATGGAAGTCCAGCTCATTAACCCTCCAGCATATTATTCTAAACCTCTCCCTTTTTGTCTCCCAAACAAATCTTTTGCTTCAACGTTGTTAAAACACTGTCGGAGCCTGAAGCTGGAATTTTGAAGACTCCAGCTCTAGTTTTGACGACCGTTGCCTAGCTGTGTAACCTTCCTCAATTCATTTATAAATAATTAAGAATGAGTCTCATATATAATGCTGATAGCTCAGGAATCCGTGCTGTAGGTTCTTTCTGTACTTTTGACTACACCTATAATACCCTTTTATTCCTCTTCTCAGATCCTACACATCTTTCCAGGACCAGTTCCTTCCCATGTCTTTTCCTGATTACTCTAGTCCATGATCTAAATTAATATAGTACTTGATATTTAGATCACTAATAGAACTTAACTTTTGCCCTCTGTTGCTAGTTTTCTTTTGATGCAGATCCCCAATTAGAATGTAAGTCCTATTGCATAAAAGAGGTATGACTTACTCATCTGTAAAAAACAAATCTCCTTTATACAATATTTATAACGGTGTGTTTGTTGTCAACTTTAGAGAGATATCAGGTTTTACTGAAGACTGAGACTGTTTTTGTTTTGTTTTAAATGGAAGACCATCAGGAACCTTAGAGATTAAATGGAAAACTATTAGTCCCGAACTGACAATTTTATTTCTAATATTGAAGAACACTGCTTTGAATGTGGTTTCATTTATGGTCATAGAATCCCAGAAAATGGGTAATGTATATTTTGGATTGGAAGTCGGCTGAGTATTACACATGACAAAATCTCGTGAGAACTATAATTTAAAAAATGCTGCTGACGCAATAGCATAGATGTCTTGACATACTTTGTTTCCTTCCTTCAAAGTTTATTGGACTAAATGATGACTGGATCCTGTTAGTTTCAATTCTGATAAGCAGTCAGTAAGTTGGATGCGGTGGACATGTTCCCTTTCACCTTCTGGCTCATTGTCCGGCAGAGCTGACAGCGATAAAGTTGGTGTCCAGTCTAACGGCAGAATTTATAAGGCTTAATTTGCTGAAAACGCATACTTGTGTTGGGAAAATAACACATTCGACAAAGGACAATGTGTTATTTTTAACCGTTTGCATTGTTCTAACAAGTAAAACGTTCCCCACGTGCCCTTCTCCCCTTCCCATGCCATGGTATTCTTTCATTCTCTGAATTTGTGCTTTAGAATTGAGAACAAACCAGGGTGTCATGAGTCTCTGCTAATGAAACACTGATGTACTTGTTACAAAACTAGAGGCTGGAGCACTCGGGTTAGAGGGCCTTTGCCCTCCTGTGCCTACATTAAGATCATTGAGGCTCCACCACAGGGAGCTCTACTCTTAACCAACCTAAGTATTAGCCAACAGGGTTGGGTGAGGCAGAACGGAGGAAGCCCACCATCTAACAATCTGGACAGCTATAGGAGCAGACCCGCTGCTCGCAACAGCTGACCCATCGGCGACTGCGGAGCCACCGGCAGCGGCGGAACCTTGCCGCCACCGCGCTGGGCGACCAGATCCGCAGCCAGGCACACGACCGAACGCGCCGGGGCCCACCCCGCCTGGCTGTAGGGCAAATCCTGCAAGGAGGCGGTGTGCAGCCCGAGGGTTGCACGAGTAAAGGGACACGCAGCGGCGCCAGCGGAGCCGCTGATTCTACCTCGCTTTCCTACCCACCCCCAGCAGCCACCGCAGCAACCCGCGAAGGCGGCTGGGCTCCAGGCCACACCCGCCTCCGGCCCCACCCAGCCGCACGAGGCCGCGCGGCGTCACAGAGCGCATGCGTGCCGCGGGGGATGCCGGGAGCGCGCAGTGGCGGCAGCGGTGGCGACGGCAGTCAGAGCGGCGGCAACAGTGGGGACGCGAGCGGGGCGGTGACCGTGTGGGAGGTGGTCTCACTCTTGGCGAAGCTGCTAGGCACCGTCGCCGCGCTGAAGGTGGTTCTGTACCTGCTCCGGGTGTGCTTAGCGATGGCCTGGAAATCCGGCGGCGCCAGCCACTCGGAGCTAATCCACAATCTCCGCAGTAAGTGCCACCCCCGCCGGGTGTGGGGCATCTGGGGCAGGCCAGGCCTGGACCGGGTCCTCCGGGCCGTCCGGAACATTCTGTCTGCACACCCGTGCCCGCTGGAGGGCTTCGGCGCAGGGTTGCACCAACAGTCCCGAACCGCATGCGCTTGAGATCGCGTCCCCCGGGACCTGTCACTCATCGGCGACTCGGTCTCGAAGGGGAAAGAAAGAGCTCGCTGCCAGTGGGACAGGGGCCGGGGCAGGCGTCTCCCCGGGGGGCTAGGGGGAATGGGAGCGCGCGACACAGGTGGTGTAGCTGTCATTCGAGTCCGCCGGCTGCGCTTTCGGGTCCGGAGGGCGAGGGGCGTGCACTCCGGGTGGGGCGATGTTTGCCAGGCCTCCTGGACACTGGGATGGACCTGAGGGAACTCCACCCTGGCCCCTCGCTTGTCACCTTCCTCCTCCATAATCGACCTCGCTGCAAAACGCTCTCTCCTATCCTTCCTCCCCCGCCCTCCGTTTTTTCCTCTGGAGGGAGATGCCACCGTCTGATACAGGCGAGGGGAGGGAGGGGACGATGAGAGTATTGTCATTGCGGATGCTGGGAGAAATTTCTGGGGCGACTGTCCAGTGGAAAGCTTCTTGGGGGGGGGGGCCGGTGCAGGGGAAGAAATAAGCAGGGGATGCTGTTCCTGAGAGACTCGTATTTCAAGAGCCTTTAAAGATCTTGGGATACATAAACAATTGTGTGTGTGGAATGTTCTGACTTCTTCAGGACTACCGTATGCTTTACAAGGATTGTATGGGAGTTTCTATATATCATTCTCTTTAGTTATGGTATTCCTTCCTCTGATGGTAATTTTAGGGTGGGATGAGTGCTGTGTCACTTTCTTTTTTTAAATCGAAATACAGTGTCGCCGTCTGGTCGGGAGACCAGGACCGCAGTTCTGTAATACGCTCACTCTACTCAGAATTTATTTCACTCCCTTTGGCACTAATTTTGCCAATAATCACATCTTGGCACACGGTGTTTTTATGTTATTTAAATTTCAGATGACATTTAATACTTTTAAAGAAAGATACACAATTTCCGTTTGTAACACACATCACATGAATTAAGATATACAGCTCTCATAGTGCATTTCAATTAATACTTTTCATTGATGGGTTGTGTCCACTGCAATGGATTCACTGAACTTTAGATCACAATTGTATCAGGAGAGGCAGCACTATGTAAAGGGTATGCGTTATTTACGGTAATAGATATTTTTCAAAGAGTATTTCTTTTCATCTCCATAACAGCCTGAAAAGAATATGTGATGTTTCCATTATGCAATCAAGAAAGTTAGTTCCAAAATTTGAGGCAGGTTCCCCTACCTGGGCTCTGCTCTAGGCAGTGAATTCAGGTCTGCCTGTTCGAAAGTCCACACACTTCCCACTGCCTATTAGTGCACTAATCTACTAAGTAGTGCAGTAAATAGGAAAGGGGGATGGAGACATTCACCTTTCCTTCTAGGTTATTTAAATACTGAAGGAGTTTTATGTTTTTGTTTTTGTTTTTTTGACCACTTACTACTTTATCTCTCAGATTTTAATTATAAATGCAGACATCATATCTTTACTATGCAGTTATAGACAATTTGAGAGCAGAATTACTGTGTAATTCTACTTTGTGTCTTGTAGAATACCTAGAGCTGAGATAATAAACTGACTTGACATATTAATAAAGGACTTCAAGGAATATGGGTGGAAGGGGAGAGATAAAGATAAATTGTCCAGGCACAAGTATCTCAAACAATTGGTCTAAAGGGGACTGACTTAGAATACATTTTAGACACATGGTATTTTTCATTGTAGTAGGTTACTTTTTGTGTGTTTGTCATGTTTCCTAATTCAGTTTGTAACCTGTGGGACTTAAAAAAATATCTGAATCCATTCAAAGAACTTAATACTCAATTCCTTTTTTTCCTCATAAATTCCAATTAAATGTTCATTATACACTGGGATATGTGCTAGGAATACCAAGATGAGTAAGAGAAGTAAATAACACTGTATGGCACATGGTAAGTGTTTAATATTAGTCATTTGACTTTTTAAATAAACAGTTATTTAAAACTTGGAAATTGTGGCCTTAGTGTTTAGTAAGGAAGAATGTTTAGATTTTAAAGTTCTGTCAAGCATGGTCAGTATTCACTTTATGGAAGGCTGTTTGACTGGAAGTGGACACTTACATGCTGAGGCAGTATTTAATGTGATTTAAGTTCCCCACGGGTTGCACATAAGCTCAATGTGTTGTAAATGTTTTTGTAAAATTTCTGAAAATGGCCTGCTTACTATTGCAATATACACACCTGAAACATTCTATATACAGATTGTGGTTAAGTAATTTTCCACCAGTAGGTTATTGTAGTAGTCACTTGGCTGTGGCAGAAATTTGTAATCAATCAGGCTTTTAACGTTTCTCCTTTTTAAGCCAAATTTGTAGTAAGCCAACACTAGATCTTTTCCCAGTGGTTTTATAGTCACTTTAATGTATTGCATTACTATTCTTAGCTGAAATTTCTGAGGATGTTTTTCTATCAGCAAATTTGATAAGAAATAGTTAATGTACATGTTGAAATTGCAAATGTTTAGTTTATATTAGATCTATGGTAAGAGGAAATTAGAATACTGTAGCAGCTTAGGCATTTTTTGTAACACTTGTGCAACATTAGTTTCAACTTCTTGCTGAAGTAATTCCAGCTAAGAGATACCATTTTTATATATTACTTTATTATAAGGGTACTATTTGTTCATGTAAAAATGTCAGTTGGCACAAAATTTGAAAATATCTCCCTTTTCCTAATTATTCCACTACTGTCTATTCTCCCTAACTTAAGGCTTCTAATTAAATCTTTAGAGAAAGATTAAAATGTGAATGTGTCAATAGGATGTGAAAGGGATTTGCCAGCTCGAAGAGGAAACAAATTACAGTGGCAATTTTTTTTTTTTTTAAGAAATGAATTTCATGATTTTTTTTTTGTCCTTACCTAAGGATGTTTTAAAAATTTTTTTAGAGAGAGTGGGGAAGGGGGGGAGGGAGGAAGTGAGGGTGGCAGAGGAGGTGGGAGAGAGAGGAAGGAAGGAAGGAAGGAAGGAAGGAAGGAAGGAAGGAAGGAAGGAAGGAAGGAAGGAAGGAAAACATTGATGTATGAGAGAAACATCTATCTGTTGCCTCCTTATATGTGCCTCAGCTGGGGAGACTGGCAATCTAGTTATGTGCCCTGGCTGGGAATTGAACCTGCAACCTTTTGGTATACAGAAGATGCTCCAGCCAACTGAACCACCTGGTCAGTGCCATGATTGGTTTTGAATATTCTAAGGATTGAAAATACTAGTTTTTCTTTTATAAAGCATACTAGAAACATGATTGTGTATGAGTTTATAATTGATATACCATTCATAGATTATTTTAGGTTGTAATGATATTTCTTGTGATATAAGTTATGTTGTGTGACAACTACTCTTAAGTAACTTAGAACAATGGTCTAGGACTTAAGCATGCTTCAAAATCTACATCACCTGGAGAGCTCCTTAAAAACTGATTAATACAGATTGCTGAGGCTCTCAAGAATTTGTACAGTTGGCCCTTGAACAATGGGGGTTTGAACTTCACGGGTCAGCTTATAAATGGATTTTTTCCAATAAACGTACAGGCCAGCCCTTCATATCTCTGATTTGGCATCTGCAGATGTCTGATGGAAAACAGTATTTTCCATCCATGGTTGAGAATCCAAGGATGTGAAGGGCTGGTTGTATACATTGTTCTATGCCATTTTGCAATATATAAGGGACTTGAACAAAGCACCCCTGGATTTTGATATCTGAAGTGGTTTCAGGAATTAATCCCCCATGGATACTGAGGGGCAGCTTTTGTTAAGTTTTAGGGGAGTCAAAAGCTGTACACATATTTTCAGCTTGGGGGTGGTATCTGCATCCCTAACTGCCACGTTGTTGAAGGGTCAACTGTTTCTCCAATGAGTTCCTAAGTAATGCGCTGCTGGTCCAGGGACCAGACTTTGAGAATCACTGGTGTAGACAATTGAAAATTACAAGGTTAAATTCTGCCAGCGTTTTAGCTGACTGAGTTTTATGCTTAAAATAACATTTTTAGGAAAAAAGTCTATGGTAGTCCTGCCCAATAGGAATCTCTGTAATTTCTGTATCTGCTGTTCAGTGTGGTAGCCACTAGCTGCATATGGCATCGAGCATTTGAAATATCAGCACAACTGAATAACTGGATTTTGCTGTTTAAATTAATTAAATAATCACAGATAGATAATGGTTACCATATTAGTGCAAGTCTGTAGAAATGAAAAAAAGTCATTTTATAATTATAGGCTGATAATGTACTCATGAAACAAAATAATGTAAAACAACTATGAGCCTGCTTAATTTAGGGAATGTGACAATTTAATGTTTATATTAGAGTTTATTTTCTATTTTTATGGTGATAATTTCAGGCTACGGTAAAATTGAGGAAAAGAGAGGGGGGCAGGAGTGGATGAGGTCGAGAGAGGTGGTCTCCAAAAGTAGGGATGTCCAAATTGGATGTTTGTGGAAGGTTAACTCTTAACTAACAGGCGTCCAGATGCTGTAATGGCCACTTAAAACAATGCTAATGATTGTTCTTATACCTAAAAATATTCAATCCACTGCCCTAACACATGAGTTATTTCTACTTATATTTACTTTGCATCCCTGATTATGTTGTTTTGTGCATATAATGTATATAGGATTTGTCATTCAGTCAACTGATCAACTGATACTTGACTGTCTGCTATATGCTAGGCACTACAGATGCAGCAGTGAACAAATCAAACATCCATTCTTTCTTGTAGCTTACTTCTAATAGGAGCAGACAAATAAAATATATGTCATGCGATGAGTGATAAAGGGAAGGAGGGTGTGGGGGGGTGTAAGTTTGCAGTTGTAGGGGAGGAGGCTGCACTGAGGTGTCATTTGAGCAACGATTTG